TTTGTAGTTTTAAAATTAGTTATTTTCAAACTCCATAAAATTTAAATGTACTTTTTAAGTAGCTTGGTTCTTGAATGTATATTTCTTACAATATAATATATTTAATTATTTTTTCAAAAATAAACTAGATGTTATTTTAAATCTTAAATATACATTTTTATAATTTATCTTTATATATTAAACACAAGCAATTATAATTTGTATTTTATCTTATGCAATACATAGGCAAGTTTATTATATATAATATAATTAAAATTGATAATAAATTATATATATAAATACTATATATGAATATATAAATTATATTTAAAATAAGTATATATAAATATTTTTAAATATCTATTTTGGATTTATGATAAATAATTTGTATTGCAAAAAATTATTTTTTATTTATTGATAATTTATCTTAAAATATTAATATATAATTAATAAATAATTATGATAAATAAAAAGAGAATTAGATAAGAGATTAAAAAATCCTTATAGATCCTCTAGATGAATGTATAGAGGTTAAGAAAAATTTCTAAAAATACTATTGTGTAAGAAAAAAATTCATGTTTAACAGATTGATTTATATTCATAATATATTTTTAAATTAACTTGAATAATTTTAATCAAATTATGAAAAAAAAAACTTATATCACAATATAAATTATTTTTCAAAAAAGTTAAATATAATTCATATGTTAAAAATTAATTTAAAATTTATATATTAAAATATATAATATTTATTTATATATGATTTATTATAAATTTTATTTATATATAATAAACATTTAAACTGTATAATACAAATACTAAAATACTAATTTTATTTTTTTTCTTAAATGTTTCTACTTTATAAACTGTATTTGAAGAAAAATGCTTGCCACACTCTATTATTAGTCATTTTTTTAAGATATTGACTAAAATTTATTAAAAATAAAAAAAATGTGAATTTCACATCTTATTTAATAAGTTTTATTTAGTTAGTCATAAAAATTGTTAAAATTTACAATTTACATCTGATTACAAAAAAATATCAGCACAAAATGTGCCGAAAAAAATTCTTTATTTCAATTTATAGATGCTCACTAGTCATTCATTGTGTTGCTAGTTTGGTAAAGTTGACAAGGGTGCAAGGAGCTTCGCTATGATTGTCATTTTTTTTCCAGTCTTTATAATCTAAGTTGCTAAAAACCTGAGTTGAATGCTTACATTAGCTTTTTTAGACTTTTTGTTATGTAATCACACACTTCTGTTAGATGCTTTGAAATAAATTTTGGCTTTGCAAAGTATTTGCGATACCTAATATCTATTTGAGAATCTTTGGCATGCATCTATATGTGGAAGTTGGAGACCAAAGCAGAAAAGAAATCATGAGAAAACTTGAATGTAATTTGATCTAAAATCAAAAACCTTTTGTGAATTTGTATGTGGCCTAGTCAGATTACAAATTTTCTGCAGCTACTAACTATGAAACAATTATTTGTCATCACCCACAGCACTGCAGACACATAAATACGACACTAACAAATTCAATCAATAGAAGAAGAAAAGATGAAAAACAATGTAAGTAACCTCAGACCGTCCTAGTTCAAGATTTTTAACAAGGAAATACAAGATTCTTGCATTTCAGTCAAATTAAAGGCTTTCATCATTGGCTACAACACCATTATAGTTGGGGTAAACGCTAACACAATCACAATAAATGGGTATAACATAAACAAGAAAGATTTCAACCAAACCATTTGCTCTTTCAATATGATGTTGCATCAGATCTTCCTTTTCAATAAAAGATTCATAATTCATTGGCCCTCAAAGTTTGGACTGTCAAGAAATTGAAAGATTCGTCATTTGCCACACTAAATTGAAAACATACACGAAACAAAGTGATTGAATTTGAATGAATATAGAGAAGGCAAAGAACGTTTGTGAATGGAAATTAAGAACTAGGGTTTTATGAGATCTTGCTAATGGAACTTCATTTTATAGGACAACTCGATGATGATTATGGATACATGGGGGACCTAATCAACGACTACCATTTGCCCTGTTGATCATATATAATTAACATATAGTATATGAGTTAATTATCTATACACTATCAATGTAAAGTTTTTTTACATTGACAACTAATCATATTTTTCAATAATATCATGTCAATTGCTTATTTAATAAAATAATAATAAAATAGACAACTTTAAAAGATATGATTGGTTGTCAATGTAAAAAACTTTACACCGGCAGTATATGGATGACTAACTCATAATATATTACTATGTTTGATTTTCCGTACAAAAACCAATCCTTATATATTAAATATTAATTTTTATTTTATATAAGAATATTTTTAGAAACTTTTCTTCAATGAGATAATTTAAAAAATAAATAAATTTTTTATATGAATTAAATTTTAATATTTAAATTTTTTTTATCAATAAATGAAATAATATTATGTTATAATATAAATCATTTATTATAAATTTAAAATATAATTTAAATTATTGACAAACTTAATGCTATTAACTAAATTAATTAATTTTTTAAAGAGTATAATTTAATTAAAAGAGCCTTATAGTTAGAGATGGAGGTAATACATATTAAAAATTTGAAATACTTATATAAGAAGTCATTATTTATTATATTACCCATAACTCACAAAATATCATCAGGATCATCCTAATTGAGAAACAAAATTTTCTAAAAGTATTTTCTTTAAACTACATACTAATAAAATTTAATATTCCTAATTTTATATTCACGAGAAAAGTAATTTTTCCCTTGTTAAATATCCCTTTAAGGTAATGGTAATGAAAGTGTTTTTTTTAATTATTTATCATTTTAGGAATATTTATTATTTTTAAATAATGGATTTTTTTAAGAAAAAAATCTTCTTTTCTGATATCATATTTAATACTAAGTAAATATAATTTTTTTTGTATAAAAAGTATTTTTTTTGTGTGTGAACTATAAACATCTCATTCAATGATAAAAACTATTTTTTCTTTGAAACAAAAATATCATCAAAGTGAATTTTATCCCTCTTAATAAAAATTTCTCTATGTACATAATGATAGAATCAAATATTTTTTAGTATGCCTTGATAATTTATTTATCTACCAAGTGTTATTGATATATAAACATCATTTAAAGCTTCATTTGTAGTAAGATAACTTTTGTAAGAGTTTATTTTATCTATTATAGTTTCTTATCTTATAATATGAAGATATGGCACAAAAGAAATAAAAAAAAAAGTTATTTCTTCCATAAGCAACATTTGTAGTAGGATAACTTTTCTAAGAGCTTCTTTTATCTATAGTTTCTTATCTTATAATGTGAAGATATGGCACAAAAGAAATAAAAATAAAAATAAAAAGTTGTTTCTTCCATAAGCAACATATTTTGTCTCATTTTAAAAAGAAAAAAAATGAGTAAACACAATAGAGATGAATCTATAACCATATATCATTGGTTATACAATATTTTTTTTTACAAAGACATCTTATTCTTCTAAATACCCCTAAAAATTGAAACTTGTTAGCATAAAGTGGTTATTTCTTAACTAAATATTGAAGTATGACCCTCACTTTGAATATGGAGTCGCAATTAAAAATATCACTTTTATTTCTAAAATAAACTAATCCGGTTAAAAGAACTTGTACAAAAAAAAGTACTTTAATAATAAAAATATTATTTTATCTCATTAATAAATTTATTAAAAAAATTAAAAGATAAATAAATTGGAACAAAAAAGTATATTTTGTACTATGACATAGGTCTCTTAAACCATAGTTTCAGCCAACAGTTTTTGTCATAAAAATCTCTATTCATTTTAATAAGGCTTTGTCCAAATACGATCCTCAGATCTTCAAAATTAATTCCCAAAATCTCATAACCCTATTTGTTTATGTTAAAGTGTATCAACGTGTCATCTTGGAGAGTAAAAAATGTAAAAAGTATAAGAAGTTGCCTTGTGGAGGAGTCGTCGTATTTGTGTGTTAAATTATTTACTATATCAATCCATGTGATGGATTTGAAATTTAATTAGGTACCAAATACAAAATATTTGATGCATAGTAACTGCATCTTAACCAAGTTAAATTATATAAGACAAGGAATGAGAGAAAAACACAAGTCATAGTTGGTCATAAGATGCAAGGCAGAGAATAAAATAATTATTATTACATACAACACAATCACATCATCATCGTCAAATCACTATCACCTATAGTTGATGTTGTTGTTGTTCTATGGAGTTTTGGCACTCATATGTCAATATAGAGATTTCTTCAATTCTCTGTCACCAGGTATTGCCTTTGGCCTTGATAGTGTGAATTGAATTGTTTTGCAAATTTAAGGGTTAATGGATTAGAGATTCAATTAATTGATTGATAGTGGTGATTGTGCGAGTTAAGCATAAAGGCACAAAGCATAGTTGGTTTAGTCAATGGAAGGTGTTGATCAAAGAAATAGTTTTGCATTTGGTGTTCCAATTCCAAAACCACCAAAACATAAACCTAGTATACCATCCTCTCACCCTAATATCAATATTCCACCTCCAACTTCACCAACTCCTTATGCCCAATATTCTCAACGATTGCATCCTCCGAGTTCCTCCCATTCGAGGTCTTTGTCTCAACCTTCAAATTTCTCATTGGATTCCTTGCCCCCATTGAGTCCTTCCCCTACTACTGCTACCTCCATGTTTGACTCCATTTCAACAATTGATACGACTATGGAGGAAAGTAACACTTTCTCTATGGCCCTTAGTAGAGGGCATGACTTTCTTCCTCCTAAGAAAGGGCATAGACGCTCTAGTAGTGATTCCCCTTTGGGAATCTATGGTTTTATGCAATTTTCTCCTATTCCTTCTAAAGGAGAGAGCTCGGGTTATAAAAAGCCGATTCAGTTGGTCTTAAAGGCATCATCTAAGGAAGGAAATAAGGATCACATTAATAAGCCAGTGAATGGGAGGAAGGAGGAGGTTGCAGATGATTTATTTAGGGAATACATGAATTTGGATAACATTGATAATTTAAACTTTCCTGGTGTGGAAGATAAGGATATGGATAGCATGACAAGTGGTTCAAAGACTGTTGAGAGTAGTGATAATGAGGTTGAAAGTCATGGGAATGGAAAAGTGAATGGGGCTCAAGGGGCTAGTTCGAGTTGTTCGAATGAAAGAAGAGAAGGAGTTAAAAGGAGTTCAAATGGGGACATTGCACCGGGTTCCCGACACCGAAGGAGTTACTCATTGGATAGTCCTGTTGGAAACTTTAACATTGAAGATGGATTGACTAAGCTTCCTACAAAAAATCAAATTGGTCAAAACTCACCTAACAATTCAATGGATGGTAAAATGCCAAAAACTGCCACAGAGTTTGGGAATGGCGAATTTAGCGCAGAAGAGATAAAGAAAATAATGGAAAGTGATAAACTAGTTGAAATTGCTTCAACCGATCCCAAACGTGCAAAACGGTGACATTTTTCTACTCTTAGTGTTATTATATGTCCCTTACTTTCGCAACAAAAATTGAAGATTCAATAATTCAATATATTTTCTATGTGTTTGCTAGGATTTTGGCTAATCGTCAATCTGCTGCCCGTTCAAAGGAGAGAAAGATGCGATACATTACTGAATTGGAACACAAAGTGCAAACCCTTCAGACAGAAACAACTACGTTGTCTACTCAGTTTACCGAATTGGAGGTGACTATCTTTTGTGACAATATTACATTTGTTTTTCTTTTGATTCATGTATACCCATTCATCCATTTTTTGTGGTGCTTATCTCCAGAGGGATAACACTGAGCTTAAAAATGAGAACAATGAGTACAAATTAAGGCTTCAAGCGATTGAACAACAATCTCAATTGAAAGATGGTTTGTATACACTTTAATTTTACTTTATGCATCAACTAATTCAAATTTGCTTTAATTTTTTCTCAAGTGTAATGGATTATTTGAAGCAGGCATATTTATGTGAATATTACATTGAAATATGATTGTGTGCATTGTATTATTTTAAAATTAATAGATTGTGTTTATTTGTATGATTAGTAAGAACAAGCATTTGTTTGTGGCTTCTATGAGTTTTTTTATAGCTAATCATGTACCTTAAGGCACAATTCAACATTATCATGTATGACTATCTCCATTACTTTCAAAATTTGTCAACTTGGCCTTAACATCTAAATTTATTATTACCATGCTTAAGGTTTTCTCTTAATATGAATGTGTGTTTGGTAAAAAGTAAATAATGCTCTCATATTTATCTAATGAGAGACTTAAGATGTTGGTTTTCATTATTCTCTTTTGTTAGAAATGTTGTATATTACTAGTTATCCAATATTTATCAATTTTTATTGTTCCATCATTTATAGTTACTTTTGTTTGACTTTGTTATAAATATCAAGGGAACAAATGTAGTTACTCACTAAATTTAAAGTTTGGCATAATGTTTTTGTCCTTGTTTTTTGATTGTAAGTATGATCAACATAATTATCATTGTGTGAATATAGATACACTAATCTTATGTCTATTAAAGACATAGGTTGTAAGGTTTAATAGTTTGACCTTATAAGTATGTATCTTTGTTTACCTCTTTTTCCTTCGCAACATTCTACTCCCTTAATTTTGTGTTAAACATGAATATCCACACTTAACCTTTTTGTCTCCAAGATTAGGAATAGTAAATGTGTCACATGTAATATTGATTTATATTTTGAAAATTAAAGGAGTAGTGAAAGTAATGCACAAAAGAGTTTCACTTATATTTGTCCATTTTCTACATTTTTAGGTATAGGTCTTTTTTTTATTTTTTATACACATTTGAATTAGTAGGTTCTTTTGAGATATGAGTGTCTAACGAAGTATGCTACTAGGATTACATACATGCATTTCAACAGCCGAATAAAAATCTCCATTGTTGTTTGGGTAGCTCTAAATGAGACTTTGGATGCCGAAGTTCGACGTTTAAGGCGTGTTGTTGCAGAACTTGGTGGTGAATCCCTCACTAATTGCATGGCTCGACAACTTGCTATTAACCAACAAATGTTCCATCTACAACATCAACAATCCAACCAACATAGACATTTTCTACTACAAAATCACCTTACTCAAGAAGATAAAGAGTCTCGGTCACACCATATTCAAGGCAATGAATTGCATCCTCAGTCACAAATTCAATGCAATGAATTACATCGTTGTCCTTAGAATGCAAAGAAATTTATTGCTTATTGATGACACCAAAAAGTGGAAGAAAATACTTTTTGTTCAAATCAATATCAAATACTTTTAGACATGGAGTTGGTGAGGTATAATAAATCATATATAAATATTGATCTATCATTTGTTTGCTCGTAGTTTCATATGATCAGTTTGTCATCTTTTTTTAATTTACACACACACACACACACACACACACATATAACAATAATAATACAATTAGGACCTGACTCACTTGGAGGAGAGTAAATGGAATGAAAACCAATATCTCATGCTAAGTTTTAATTCCCCATCTAGTTTGCACACCAATTTCATATACATGGGAAAACGAAATATTCTACTCCCTATCTTTTTAAACTTGAATTTTTTAGATCAACTTGTTACTTGTAGGTTTGTTATCATTCAATTGTAGAGAAAAAACGATCAAAGTTGAATTTGATTCATCAATCAACCTCCTTATTTTAATTCTCCCAAGTTGTTTCAACCCTTTTAAAGTACCTCGCATGCAATACAACAATTAATGTGTCAACCCAAAACCCCCAAACTTATAATCATTACAATCTCTAATCAAACCACCAAAAGTTGTATTTCCTTGATTACCCTTATAGCACTCAACAATTTTCTAGTTTTTTTGTTATGTTAGCAACAATATCACGTGGTTTCTAATGGAGTTTTTGATTAATGTTGTTTTCATGTGTAAATAATAAACTTGGGAAAGTTACAATCATTTATAGATTTTAAGTTTCTAACAAGGCTTGCATGATCACAACCAAGACTCAAAATTTAATGGTAGATCACAAGGAAAGTGAACACTTATAATGTTGATATTATGAAACCTAAAATCTATAAAGATCTTAAAGAGGATGTTATGTAACTACGTTTTCTCTTAGCTCTAAAACAAGGCACAAAACTATTAATTTATTTATCTTCGATAATATTTGTGTTACTACAACCAAAATAATAAGCAAAAACTTAGGGTGATTAAAGGAAGGTAATTTCAAGGAGATAATTAAAGAAAGTTAATTGAAGTAAGATAATTCAAGAATATGGTAGGAATTGATAAAGATAATATTTTAAAGATATCCCAAGATTAGGGTTTGCACAATGAGTTACTCTATTTAAATAGTTTACTCATTAACTATTTGTTTTCTTTGAAGGTAAATTAATTTGAGTAGCTTTCATTCTTTCTCGGGATATGAAAGGGTATTATTGAATTGACCTTTACTCGTGTGGTAGATATGTTCAACTAAACTCACAACATTGTGTGTTAATTTAGTCAATTGTCAAAGGATTAAACTCACTCTCATGATTTAAAGCCTAAGTATAATGCATAGGATTTCAATATTTAGGTTCATTTCCCATATCTTTCCTAATGGTTTATTTGAAGGAAGGGAAGCAATCAAAAGGAATGGAAGGAAATAAGTGATAATTGATTTGGTAGAAAATAGGTAAGAAATAAAGTGAAATTTGTAGTTGTTTGATATAGTGAAATTAGGTGAGAAATATATGAAAATTGGTATTTTAAATAGTTCGATTTTCATGTAAAAATAAATTATTTAGATAATTACATTTTTACCTTTTATTAACCTTTTCAAATATACATTTAGACAATGGTATATGGTAGTATCGTCCAAACATATTTTTTTTGTGAAAAAATTCATACAAATCCACTCATAAGAGAGTGAAATTAAATCTCTATGGATTCCACCATGATATCCTTTCAAATCCACTCAAGTTCTCTCCTCCAAACACATGTTTTTCTTTTAATTCTCCGATAATCTCTCCCTTTCTTTTCCATTTCTTATTAAATTACCCTCACCAAATACACCATATAATATACAAGATTATGAAAAATAGTGATCAATTGTTTCACATATATAAATCATAAAGAATTTAAACCAGGAGAAGAACATAGATAAATAACTGAATAATTCATATAAACATAAAGGTTTTCAAAAGTTAAACCTTGATAAAATAAAAAGGAAGACTACTCACATATGTTCATAGTAGTTATCTAAAAAGAAAACAAAGAAAACATAAGAATTGAGGGAGACAAAATGCCAGTTTTTAATCCCCAATTTATCTTGTAAAATGTCTCAAGTGAAAATTAAAAAATTAGGTTGTTAGCTATTTCTAATCGTTATTAAAAAAAACCTAGGAATTAGCTCCTATATATAAAACATGAACGAATATTTTGTGGGATAGCATTTTAAGGACTTTTATTTAACGAGAGGTTTTTTAAAAATTCATTTAACTTCATATTTACTTTGATTTTTATTTATCATAATTATTTATTAATTAAATTTCAATGTTTTTAAAAATAAACTATCAATAATTAAAAATAATATTGTAATAGAATATAAATTATTTATCATAAATTTAAAATATATTTTGTAATGAACCGTCATGGTCCCTACACTTAAAGGAATCATGCAAACGATACTAATCATTTAAGACAAAATACTAAGTTGGATAACAAAATATAGACATAAAGAAAGTAATAAAAGAAATTAAATATTTATGTACGAAATATAGTACTATGTATATACAGTCATCCAAAATAATATTGCCCTAGTGCCGGTCAAGCATAGACTAAACAGTTACCCAAAATGGTAATTTTGACACGAGGACAAAACTCTACGTCTCGCAGCAGTCACAACAATCAGCTCCAACCTAACTCTGACCTGCTCTCATACGTAGTATGATCATTGCAGTCCATCCACATGAAAACAGAAAGGTAAGCTAGAGTTCAAAAAAATCAACCGTGTAAGCATACAAATAAATGTCCATGCTACACCATTATCAAGTTATCAATCATACTCATATAGCCACACCATACACTCTATCTAATACTACTCATGAATAAAATGCAACTCAACAATCATGAAGTCAAACACCATACACTTCATCTTAACAAAATTCATACAATAATAGCAACTTCGTGACAGATATCAATGCATATCAATCATCTAATGCGTCGTCACGCATTCACCTAGGACATTTCCTTAACAGCAGAGCAGTATAAGTGACATTCCAATTCTACCGAAACCAACCCAACTGTTTTTACGCCCAATGCGCTCACTCAGTGACAACTAATCAGGATATAAATTCTCACTTGGATTTACTCAAATGTTGTCACTTACACACTTGGAAGTTCGATTCCACCGTTAGGTATAGTACAGCTGGATACAGGCTTACCACGACCTTGACATGCATTACCAAGTCACTAGTGGAGTTCGCCCACTGACTATCCGCAAGGAACCACGTACCTTCCCCAGTACTTGGTTAAGGGAATAACCCTCTACCTCGTACCCCGCTCCAACACTAGTTAAGAACTTAGAGGAGACTCACCCATACCAGTGGCCTATCTAAGCACTACTCTCATCCAAAAGTCAGTGGTTTATCTAAGCACCCCTCTCATTTATATCAGTGGCCTATCCAAGCACCACTCTCAAGAGACTCTATGTGAACTCTTCCAGTTTGAAAACATTTTCCCTTTCCTCAAGTCCTAGGCTAAACACATGCCATAAGGCATCACATGCAATAATGCATCAGACATCATACATGGTCACCCCACCATCATGATCAATATCATCCTCATATGAACATATACACATGTCATATTATATTTATACATTCATATATATCATTACCAAGCATACATATGAATCATATATTTCCATACATCATGTATCATACATACATGATCCAACTTCAACCTTAAACATGCAAAAGCATCAATTTCAATCAACATCACTAAGCATACCTACGCCCGGGGCAGTCAGCTTGCGCCCGACCTAAATCCAACCAGAGAGCTCTAAAGCTCATCCACGCCCATCACAGTTAGCTTGCGCTTGGCATCTTATCAGTAAAATACCACACCAAGCCATTATCTGATATCGTGCTCGGCGTGGCTCTTCTCATGCTTGACGTGGCTCTTCTCACACCTGACATGACTCATCTAGAGGCTCTCATCTCAAATCGCGCCCGACGCAACTAATCTTGCATCTGGCGTGAATTTAAAATGGTTACCTCTGATGAATGCACACCTGACGCCAAGAACATGCGTCTGACGCAAATTCAAATAGCAGCCTCCCAAAACTTCGAGAATTCCATCCAAAACTTGAAAATTAGGAAATCCAACCACATGCAATCCATGAAACACAACACATAGGCTTCACACAATTCAAAAATAACTTCAGATTCAACATGCATCTAACAGACGCATCAAAATCACCAAAAACCCCATTTTTCCCAAAACCCCAAAAAAATGAGAAGTTCTTCAATTCAACCATTGATTCTCCAATTTCATGCACCAATTGAGTTCCTAAACTCACATGCAACCAATCAACCTACATTCTAGCTTCTCTCACCTGAAAGTTGACTCAGAATTGCCAAGAACTGAGAAGAAGAAGAATTTTCCTCCGAAGCTTGACTCGCAGACCTCAATCTTCCAAAAACAAGCTTCCTAGCCTGAATTCCAAGAAAAGACAGAAGGAGTTAGTGATTTAGAGAAGAAGAATCAAACAGAGAAATTTGTGAGAGAAAGGAGTTTACGGACTTAAAGTCATTCTCTCTAAAATCTCTCTCTATATTTTCTTTGAGAATGAGCTTATGAGGCTCCCTTCTCAAAGAAAACTTTAAATACCCTTCTCTCTAGCATTCACTAAACTCTGAAACTCACTTACCACGTTACATATTTTATATATTTAAGATTATTTATTTATTCAAATCTTAAATATAATTTTTATATTTAAACATAATATTTATTCTTATGTATAATTTATTTTAAATTTTAATTATATATAATAAATATCTAATTTATACATTACACATACTAAATATTAATTAATCCACAAATAAGATAAAGATATGATAAAAATGTGAACTTTGAAATTCAAATAAGATTTGTCTATACGGGCATGCTATTAGAATCATTGTTTCTTGGCACATGGATTTGCACGAGCGTATAGATAAATGACACGTTGTGTCATCTGCGTTTGATCCAAAATCTTCTTGTTTTTATTTCAATCATGTCCTTAATGATCATGTTCAATCTTAATGGTCCAGCATGCATTATAAC